CCCCACTTGACCCCCATTCCCATTTAAAAAAATTTGGGGGATGGCACCCCCACTTAGGGGGTTGAAGATTTTGCTATGCTTTTTGCGCCAAAAGTTGTCCCCCTCAGAAGCAAACTTTACCTGTTTTTGGATTTTGCCGAAAAGTTCATTACTACCCTGTAATGCCTTGCGGTACGTTTTCGATGGGCTACCCTGTATTTATTCAATCAGTCTAAAGGTTTTGGTTCAATTAAAATAAATTTGAAAGAGATTTAGGTACAATTCGCTTATAACAACTAAATTTTTTAACTACAAAAAATTCAACACTTAAAAGAAACAAATCTTTATTTATCACCAAACAACAATTTTCAGTTGAGTAGTTATACGGGGTGTCCCAGTATGAGGTACAAAATGTTACCAGAGCGTAGACCAGACCAAAATAAGATTAAAATCCTTATAACTCTCACTGAGTTACAGGATGTTGTTTAGAAAAAAAAATAATAACAGCTTTCCGCAATAACTCAAGAACCCTTTCAGGGATTTAAGTAATTTTTGGGTGAAGTGTATATCTCTTAAAGGTCATTAAATCAATATGGTGCTTATTTCGATCTGACGCCAGGGGCGTATCTAGTAAGTACCTGTCATTATAAAAAACACGGTTGAGGTACAGTTTCCCATGTAACTGCGGCTCAATGAATATAAAGAAATTAAACAAATTTTCTACGAATTCTTTAATATTTGGTTACGCATAGGTGAACTAAAAATAAAATTGAAAATTACGTAACGAAATTATGTTAGCAAAATGACAGTATTAAAAATAGAAAATAATTATTTCAATAAATGCTCGAAATGCTGCCCATTTACTTCAATGCATGCCCAACATTGTTTGATCAAGGAAGAAACCCTTCGCAAATCAACGATTGTTTGAATTTGCTCGGCGGTTGCATTAATTTTTTGAAGTAAATCGTCTCTCGTATTACTGGGTTTGGCATACACCAATTGCTTCATATGACCCCAATAAAAAAAATCAAGCGAGTTGAGGTCAGGGGACCTGGGAGGCCACATAACCGGTCCATTTTTCCCAACCCAGTGTTCTGGAAAATGTAAATTGAGCCACGCAGATACCTGTCTTTTATTATGAGCAGATGCTCCATCTTGTTTGGTAGTAAATTTGATTTCGCAAAGCTTAGGGAACGTCATCTAGTACATCATCAATAATATTTTCTAATAAATTCGCGTATCTCTATGAATTCAAACAGTCTACAATAATTTGGGGAGCCAGAATGACTCCGTTGAAGATTCCTCCTCAGACATTTATGGAGAATCTTCTTTGAAACTAGAGGGTCGTATCACATGCGGATTTTCAATGGACCAGACATGAACATTTTTTAAATTATTTATACCATTTCTCGTAAAGGTAGTTTCATCGCTCCACAATATCTTTTGATGGAAGTTTTCATCATTATCGACATTTTCTAACAACTAGTTGCAAAATTGTAATCACCAGAATGCAAAGTTTGTACTTTATGTAAGTGGGATGGGTGCAGTTCTTCTCGGTTTAAATTTTTCCAGACGCTGTTTCGTGGTATACCTACTTGCGTTGATATTCTTCGGACACTGGTGGAAGGATCATCAACAGCAGCAGTTATCACATTTTCTTCTAAAATGTTTGCATCTTCCAAATTACCTTTTATTCTGGTATTTCCAATTCTAACAATCATGGCCTCACGGGCTTCTTGGAAAACTCGTTAGAATACGTGCCGTAAAGGTTGCCTTCTGTTTGAAAATCTGAGTAGATATTCTCGTGAAACCGCCAATGAATTTCCATCACAGAAACCGTAGACAAATATAATCTCGGCATATTCGCTGTTAGAAAATTCCATAATACTTAATATGTTGTTTTGTAAACTTAATTTCTCGTAACTTCGAGTACTGTAATTAATATTGACATGTACGCTTGTAAACAACTTTGTTTTTTATAATGACAGGTACCTACTAGATAATAATAAATAAAATCTTTACACGCATTTTTCTACGATTTAATGCAGTATATACTTTAGACCCAATTTACTCGAAAACGATTCATTATTAAGCTATTAAACAAGAGCATATTTTATGTTCAGAATTCATTGCAGATTCAGGAAAATTTAATAAAATTACAAAAAACTAGGGTATGAAAAAGTTATGAAGATATAACCTTGAGGACAAGTTGGCCTAGGCCGCGCCTGGCGTCAGATCGAAATAAGCACCATGTAATTTTAATAACCTTTAATAGATGTACACTTCATCCAAAAATTACTTAAATCTCTGTAAGGGTTTTTGAGTTATTGCGGAAAGCTGTTATTATTTTTTTCTAAACAACACCCTGTATGTCAGTGAGACTGCATCGCCGGAAAATATTTTACAAGAATTTTAATCTTATTTTGGTTTGGTCTAAACCCTAGTAATTTTTTTGTACGCTCACAGTGGGACACCCTGTATACACTACTACAATTATATTGTCGACTCTTAAATTATTTATCTCTTACGGTGTAATAGAACATTTGATTTAAATCACTTTATTATCTATTTAAGGCTATTTTTTAATTCTAATAATATACCGTTAGGACCTACAACCTTATATTTTGTTATGACAAAAAATTATTAATTAACCAAACCATTCATTTGATTTGATTTTATTTTCATCTCTTAAGTTAATAAACGGTTGTAAAAAATCTAGAGCCAGTATAACTTTAACTTGTTTTAACTCAATTATATAACTTCGAA